CTTTTTTTTTTTTTTTTTTTTTTTTTTTTTTTTTGCAAAACTGGGACTCTAACAGAATTGAGGTAGGAAGCAGCTCTGGAACTCACGTCCTTCTTCTAGCCCATCTCCCCCTTGATCTCCCATGGCATAAATTTGTTCTCCTTCCACATATGATGCAAAATGTCTTTTCTGGTCAAAACAAAGGATCTGTGTACATTGTTTCAGAGGATTCTCTTATATATAAACACAATGAGATATTATAAGATTATGCTATGATTGGTCTTGGGAAAGTCTTTTTGTTGGTTAGTAACCCTTGGTTCTATTTTTTAATATCACACACAAACTCGGGCCTTGGACATATACTTCTTGTAAATCCAAACAAACAAGGAAGCAGCTAGATCTGCAAATCAATCCAAACCACGCACACATTTCCTAGATACAACAGGACTGGCTTTTGCCAGCTGGGACTTACTACCCTGGTCTATATCCTGCTGCCTTCTTCAAAGGAGGATTCTGGAGATCCCATCCTTGTGGCAGTCACCTACAATACTACTCTCCATGATGCTACGTCATTTCAAAGAAAACAAAAGGCATTCAGAGCTTACTCAGAAAGCCACTGCTGCCCCCACACTGAAGAATTAGATGTCAGTATTTCCTCTCATGCAGGCAAGTCCTGCACCCGCATTCTGGGAAGCAGCAAGCATTCAGTATTCAGACTGCTTGTTATCAAAGAACTGCTTGCAGTACAGCAACCAGCACCTGCAAGTGCCATTTTTTGGCTGCTGGCTGGCTGGCATGAGCCACAAGTCTTGACTCTGCCCTACTTTTCTGTCCTATGACTCTTGTCAATGTGTATACACCAAGGGAATGAAGCTGTTTTCAGTCACTTCATATCCCTGCCAGGCCAATTAGCAATTGCAAAGAGAGGATCTGACAAAGTTACTGGAGTAAAGCTGACAAAGAGGGCTGGGAATGGGAAGGGGGAAAACATACTTTTGTATGCTTGCACACAGCAGCTTAGAGCCTCAGTATCTTGCCTTTAACTTGAGAGTGACTTCAATATAAGGGAAGGCAAGAGGAGATGATTTTAAGGAGAAAATGGTCACTAACAATGAAAGGGCTAAGAAATAAATCTATGATTCTTCTTTTTACTCCCCTCCGACAGAAGATTTATTAGTAGATCTACTGAAGACTTTATGCACCGTGCTCTCACTCATTCAAACAAAAGTTAAGCACCTGAATTTCTGTCTGGATCTGGACTTCAGAAGCATAATTACCCGTGACACAACTGGGTAACTGTGAAGCTGAAGTCACAAAAGTAGAACAAGAAAAAACATCCTGGACTGTTTGTGCTAATCCCATGGAGCCCATATCATTAGCAGCAGTGGGTGGCTCTGGCTGGAGGGCAGGGGGCCATGCAGGGAGGCAGCTGGGCAGGAGGCAGGATCTGCTGCACTGCCGTGAGTGACATTCTGTTTTAGGCAGCAAACTGAACTATGATCCTGAACACAAAACACACCATTCCTTAACGTTCAAGGCACATCATCCGCATGCTTAGGAACACCACCCTGAAGTCCTTCAGTGCTAGGAAGCAGGATACACAACAAGGGTGTTACAAAGATGAAATATTGGTTGGAAAGAGTGAATATTCCCTAACTAGAGAAATTCAAAAGCTATTATAATGAACAATATAACAAGAGCTTGCTAAAGTAATCAGTGGTGCATGCAGCACTGCTTCGTCATCATACATGCTCAGGGCTTCTCCAAAATTTGAACAAACTGACCTGAAACCCAGAAGCAGTTCAGTTTCTCTCACATCCCCAATTTAAGGTGCCAACAATGGTCAGATTGTAGACATTTCACACAGAGAAAGCAAGAAGCCAAGTCTTTCCTGTGCCAATCTGGATATACAATACAAGCAGAATGTTTCAATTTTCAAAGTGCAACTACACTTTCAAAAGGGTTTTTATTTAGAATCAAGAATTCCAAACACAGTTAATTCTAGATGGGTTGGGATATCTTAGTATTAGGACAACTGAAGCAAAAAGCAAAGACAGGCTACAATGAGAAACCACCTTTCCTCAATTTCTGCACCAGGATTGGCACTGGAGCCATATAAAATGTGATTTGTGTGCTTTCTTTCAAATGCATAATTTATCAAAATAAAAAGTCTGCAAGGATGTTGCAAGAATTATGTCATACCAACTAAAAACCTCATATGCATTACAGAGGTCTTGCAAACACTCAAAGAACAGCTTCACACAATGAGGAGCTGAAGCAGTTCATGAATTCTGTAGGCAATGTGCAGATCTGCAGAGTTGTGCATCCATCCACTCCATCCCCCACAAGGTCCTTGTGTGCTCCCCTCTCAGACTCTTGTTTCAGGGACTCCTGCAGTTCCCACCACCAGACGTGTCTCTCCATCACCCCTACCCAACAGCAGGGACTCGCCACACTCTGGACCCATCCTAGGAGTTCTGTGCACTACTATTTCTTCCACACTAGAGTTATGTGCTTTCCTCGGTCCTCCCTGTTCTTATTTCTTTTCTGTCTGCCCAGGCAATTAGTCACTTACGCCGTCGACACGTTAAACTCTGCCAGACAGCAGGACAGAAATGAAGTGGGACTGCTTTGCTGGAACATGTTAGTGGGCATCAAGTATTCAGTCGCAGAGAGAGATGTCTGAAACTGTGGTTGCTCTAATTAGACACCAGAGGCTCCAAGTGCAGCCAGTTTAGCCCTGTCACTTTCCAAGCACACTCCATCCTCCTCAGGATTCTCATGCCTAGAGCAGTCCATGAAACTTGGAAATGGCTGGATGTGGCGTTCAAGTGTCATCATGCTGGATCCAGCCCGAGAAATACTTCCAAATCATTAGGTAGAGTGAAACCCAACATAGGGTTCACCAAATAAAATAACTCAATCCAATGCATACAGCACTAACAGCAAGCTAACTTTCTGAAAATCCAGTATGCCAAACTCAACCAATAGTTAGCCCATAGCTATGTGGAAAGGTCTGCAATGCACGTTAGAATATCTTTATTTTATATTTATAAGGATGAATGAGTTCAGTGCTCAGGTTGCCATGTATATCTGATACCCAGACCTTTTCAAATCTGAAAAATACCTACCCATCACCCCAAGCTCATTTCTGTTTGGAAATGCCCTGTAGCTTGACCTGAGTATCAACAAGTGTTTGAAACATCCTTTTGAGCAGCAGAAGCAGAGCTTTACAAGGGTCTATTCAAACTTTCGTTTACCTATCATCTTTCGAATAACACTGTCTTATGCAGCCAGTGTATTTATATAGGTAATAAACACCGTGCTTTCAGATCCTCCTTTGAAATCTAAGGATTTCAAAGCACAACAACTTACCAAACCTCACAACATCAGTATGAGGTATCAGTGTCGAAATTTAATAAGAAACTATACAGCATAATACATTATGTACAGAACCTAGAAAACAACTAGGAAAACAGAAAGATCAGATAACTATACAACCTATAGACACTTGGAAAGAAAAATGTGTTTCTGAAGCTGCAAGTCTTTAAGGAGAAAAATAAATCAACCTAATGATACTGTTTTCCCTAAAGTGTTCAATCACTGATGCTTTCATGTTATTTACTGAAAATTCCCAACATTACTCTATGAAAAATGATGGGGAGCCTGAACATTTCTTGCTGCCAAAAGTGAATTCCTCAAGAACAGAAGCCTGATCTGTCACTGAGAATAGAAACACGGGGGAACAGATAATAACCAAAAAAGCAGCTGCCTTGTAGAAAATGGCTTAGATTAGAGCTGATTGTTTTTATATCAGCAGAACCATACGGTCTTCCTACTCATGAGTAGCAGATGTCTGCCTGATAATTTGCACCATGGGCACATTTGCTGATATATGGGTTTCCAAAGGTGCATCAGGTGATAGTGTCAATTGCTTTGAGACCCATTGAGAGCACAGAATAATTACAGCAAGGGAGCTGGCAGCCACAC